CCTAGCATAGCCTGTAACGTTATTGTGACGGACACGTTATATGAGTGAACTTGACTTTAAGTGACTTACAGGTTTCTTTGAAAAATACTTTCTTATATCTTATTTGCTGCCGTCCTCCTCTCCTCCTGGCAGAGCAGGTTTTAACGCGCTCCCTGAAAGGCTCAGCCAATCACATTGGCCATATTTGCCACATGAGGTAGGACTCCAGTAGAGAACGTAATTTAACTCTTTCTGCACCGCTCGCTGAATGAGACGCTAACGGATCGTTTTTTTTTCTTACTATCGGGTTTGTTTTTCTTTACTCGAAGAGATCAAATTATTGGTGTGGACAATTCAATAATCGCTGGATATTGGTGGGGACATGTCCCCTCCCTCCATGCCAAATCTACGCCCTTGCCTCAAGGTGCTTTATGTTGTAAGTTAAAGACCACACAATAATACAAGTATATGTATGAAAGGGGAAAAAAGAAAGGGGGGGACTGGCTCTTTGAGTTCTAGAACTACCATGAAACCAAACAGAAACCAATTCTTAAAAAACCTGAAATCGTGAAAATTTGAATTTCCATAATTGTTCTCCCTTTAATATGTTGCTTCTCTAATGATAAAAGTAATAATTATCATTAGAGAAGGTAGTGAAGATAAAGGTATATTTATATTTTTATTTAACATTAGCTGTTGCTGTTAAAGAAGGAGTTAAAGATAAACTAATAAACTGGGCTTGTTAAAGTGGCTCCCCATATGTTTTACTAATTCCAAAAGCAGTTATGTCATTTTTATCATTTATTATTTCAGTGTAATTCAATCCCCTTTTTATTTCTCACGACTTCATCTTCAGGTGGATGCATACGGATTCATGAGTGAAGAATTCAAGAAATACTCCAACTACTATTATGACAAGTATGTTAAAACCAGGGTCATTTTCTATTCCAACCACGACTACATTCTAGAGAAGAACACATGGAAAAACCTTCACAACAGCAAAATATTAAATCTGTATCAGGGAGAGTAAGTAAACCCAGGACTGTAAGATCTGCAGCAATGCTGCAACGGCAAGAATGAAAGCAATGGGATAAGGAAGAGATTGTTATTTACCGATTATTACAAGTCAAACAGATAAGGTTCAGATAAGAGCATTGTTTAACAACACCATAAACATCTTCTCCACAATCAAGTTGATTCTGTTCTCTTCCAGTTAAGATCCGGTATTATAACCACACATTTGAGTAAGTCAGTGCGATCTAGGATGAACTTTAGACTTTTTCTGTTTCTAGCCCCATATTCAAATTTCATTTCTTACAAATCAATATTCAGAACTTATTCAGAATGATCCATACATGTTTAACTATATATAAGTATATACTCATATACAGCACATAAACATACACATAAAACAATTTCAACACATAAACCAAAACAACAACAAACTACATTTTTACATAAACTAAGCAACCTGTGGTTAACAGCCACTTAATCTCTGACCTAATTTTTATTTCTAAGTGACAAAATACCTTAATGAACACTTTAAGCAAATGAGGACAAGGCTTCAATAGAACATAATGAGACAACTCTATAGGTATGACAGGATTAAATAATGCTATCTGCACACATAGTAATGGATTCTGGGTGCACATGCAAGGCCTACCAGTTCTTACAAATAACAATCCAACAGTCAATACATCTCCTTTAAAATGCAGATTGCACATGTTATTAGGCATGTAATGTAGTAATAATGTATTATTTCGTTTTAATGCTTTGGTGATTGTTAATTCGTTTCTGTAAAAGAATGTATATGTAAAGTAGTAAAAGTAGCCAGGATGTGGCTGCTGGTATTAAACTTAAATGAAGTGATGTAAAGTTTTTCGACTGCTAAAACTACTACAGATGAGATATAAAGGCTATAAATTGTTTATTTTGGCCCGTGGGTGGTTAAATTGTTTCTCCAATCTGTATCTATCTCAGACAGTTGCAGTATGAGCTCTGAGATGAGCTCCTGCAGTAAACAGCACCACCTGCAGCTTTTTCAGAGCAGAACTTTATCCAAGTGCTGTACTTTAGTACGCCTTTGACTTACTTTGTACTATATATCAGTACTGCAGTAATATAACATAGCGTTACTGTTTTAACATAATAATAATTAGGTGTGTGTGGGGGGGTATGTTTTGTTGAATGTATCTTGTTTAATCACACTGTTTTAGTCACAAGTGAAACTAAATAATTTTTTAAATGCATGTTGTGATGTTTTTACCTTCTTTCCTATTGATGATTTTGTATCTTGTAAATTAACCGCGTCACCCAATTCTACACACAGACACTGTACTTCAATACTTTTTTCATTATTTCTTTTCTTATTTCATGCAAATATTATGTTGGGTATACTTTACTAGTGTTGAGTTGTACTCTGGCCTTCAGTGCTACTTTAATTCTTTATGGTAAAGATTCAACACAGTGATGGAAACATTCCTTGGAGATTTTGGTCCATGTTGAAATGATAGCATTGTGCACTCTCCAGTTCCAGAAAGCAGTGGCACCCCCTGTGGGCCTCTGCTGCTGTAGCACATCTGCTTTAAGATTCTTCTCCATATACTGCCACCCTTCTGTCACCTGGCACATTCTCCTCTGATTTCTGGAATAATCAAGCCACTTGTTTTATTTATTTATTTATTTTAATTCCTTTTCACAGCTTTCTCTATAAACCGTGGACACTCCCAGTAGATCAGCAGTTTCTGAGACACTACAACGAGCCCATCTGACACCAACAATCAAGTTAAAAGTTTAAAGACACCTACAACACTTTTTCCCCCATTCTGATGCTCAGTTTGAACTTCAGCAGCTCATCTTGAATACATCCACATGCCTAAATGCACTGAGTTGCTACCATGTGATTGGTTGGTTGGATTTTTGTGTGAACAAGCAACAGGTGTAAATAAGAAAAGTTGCCAGAGAGTATTTATAGTTAATCTAAGGAACAGAACAGATTTTATAATTCCATTACAGCAGCTTTTTACCACAAAAGGTCATTGTTTTGCATAAAGTCAGCAACATAATTTAAAACCTACACTTTTAAATTTACATGTAGTTCAGTTCTCGATTTTTGGTGTGTCTTTGAATTCAACCTTCTGGTTGATTATTTTCATACAAGGATGTGGCATCCTGTTGTTCCTAACCCACTGCCCAGTACGTATGCATATCAAGGATGACCCCCCCCCATTGAGATTTGATGTTTCACATTGTTTATTTATTTATTTTTTTAAAAATCAATAGAAAAATCAGTCCCCAAAAATGGGATGTGGTCTCCATAATTGTGAGTTCAGCTTTACAGATTTCCCCCTATATCACTGCTCCGAGTGGGGCGGTGACTGATTAGGGGCGTGTCAGGATTGACTGACAGGTGTCCTGATAAATGGCCTTATTAAAGTGGACCTTTTCACTGTATAGGCTGTGAGAGAAGTTTTAACTACGTTTTTTGTGTGTGTGGCACAGAGCATCCGAGAAGTTTGTGCTTGAGTTTTTGGTGAGTGAAATTCTGGTCTTTAATGAATCTGTGACTTCCCGCACATTAGCAGACACGTATGTGTGTTACCTGATAACTTTACCCTCCACCCTTAAACCCATCAGTTCTGGCTCCGAAAGTCAACATGGCGGCAACACGGCTAAAGCTAAAGCTTTGAAATGTGTGAACAAATGCGTGACGTCACGACGGTTACGTTTACACGGGGCGTGACTTCCGAAAATAAATGATACGGTTAAA